TGCTGAGCATGACGTCATATGGTGTGGAATATCCCTTTGGTCAGTTGGGGTCAGCTGTCCCAGCTGTGTCCCCTCCCAAATTCTTTTGCACCCCCAGCCTACTCGCTGGTGGGGTGGTGTGAGAAGCAGAAAAGGCCTTGACTCTGTGTAAGCCCTGCTCAGCAGTAACGAAAACATCCCTGTGTTATCAACACTGTTTCCAACACGAATCCAAAACATAGCCCCATACTAGCTACTATAAAGAAAATTAACTCTATCCCAGCCAAAACCAGCACAGCACCCACAACAAGTAAATAGCTCACTCTCTAAAGGTAAATGATACTTACTGTGTTCTCCTAGTGCTGTAAAAATGGCATAACCCTTTGATATGAAGTGGTGCATTTTCAAGCTTCCTTGGTTCAAAAGACAGAGGTGCTCGAAAATGTCAGCATGTCTGCTGGGCTTCTGAAAATTTTGTCTGGGATACAAAAAAGTGCATCGGATAGCAGAATACCAGCACCCTCAATACTGTGCCCCCTCAGGGAAAGAAGTTTACCACTATGCAACTCCAGTGATCAGGTAGGACTGCCATGAGGGTGGCTAATGATGCAACCACTGTCTTAATAGTGACTCCAGACATGCTCTTCAAGGAACTGTCTCACTAAATGAAAAGAATGAGCAGTGTTGGTTAATAGCCAAGGAGATAGTTATTCAGGCCACAATCTGACCTAACATCTGGGTGTCATGAGAACCAGAAAGCAGTCTGGACTTTGTAAAAAATTTGAACCACATCAAATAAAAACAGTGTGACTATTAGAGCTTATATGTGAAGTAGACTTTGCTACTGTGTGAGTGCACAACAAAAAGAGAGAGAAAGGACAACTTCCTGCTTAAAGTGAAATTCTTACTGAATTCTGTCAGAAAAGTATAGAAATCTGTGACTTTCTTACACTCACTGCATTTTGTAGAACACGCCTTTTGTGCCCAGCTTCTCAACAGACTTGACTTTGATCTCATCTGAAAAATGGAAAATAGAAGATTAATACTCCCAAAAAGGTGCCTGATTATATACAGACAGCTATGTTTTTCAGTGAGAATGAGTGATATATTTGCCTTTTAATATTATATGATGTCAAAAAGCTCTTACTTAGTTTACTGTAAATAAGATCTCTCCAAGTTTTCATGTATGTACAGAGAAAGATTTTGGCCCTGTAATAGAAATACTTCACATCTAAATAAAATCAAGGGTGTAATGCCTGTAAGAGGAATTTCAAGATTATTGTGAAGATCGGAAGATATTTAAGTAGGTGGTGTCTCCTCAGACTGATATTCTCAGTTTAAGTAGGGGTGTCTCCTCAGACTGATATTCTCAGCAGAATTGCTTGAATAAGCCATAACACAGAATGTGCATCTATTTAAGGAAATGTTTTCAACCAACCAGGAGTGTGTATATTTTGCCCATATCACGTACCACAATGCCAGTCTACTGGTATGACCTGTCCTTAGAGAATGGCTTTGTCTTTGGAACAGTAAATCACATTGCAATTTACACATACGTATAATAAACCTAAGCTAATGGTAGCTCATCCTTTTGAAAATGAAGATTAATTAACTTGTAAAAGCCATGACTCTAACACCTGTTTTATTTAAAGAATTTAATCAACACACCAGAAATTCAGTAGTGAGAACCATAGCAATTCCATTGTACTTAAAAATACATTTCCTATTCGTCAAGCTTAAAATAAGTTCTGCTTAAAAATAAGCAATTGACAGCAACCTAAAATAGCAGTAACAAATTCCATAGAATGAGGCACTTGTGCTATAGTGCCTCAAGCAAATTTATAAGCAATTTCCTAGAATATTCTCGGAGTGTAAAGCATGCAGTTATCGGGAATCTCTATTACAGATTCTGGCCTCATTTTTTCCTCCTAAATGTTTGTGACAAAAGTAAAGAAAGTAAATGCAAGTAAAACACAGCAAAATTGATTTGTGAAAGCAAACTGCCTACCTGGCATGGTGCCTATTAGTATAGAACAAATAAATTACATAGATCTTTAGACAATTCTATAATTTGTACTCTGACAAAAATACTACCAGTGGATATCCTCTTACAGGTTAGGAGTTCACAGTGCTGTTAGATTTTCTTCAGTGGTAAAGGAAAGATAAAGCTTTCTGATTAAAGGGTTCAGGAGAATAAAGAGACAAACACTTCAGGATATATTTGTCCATCTTTATATAGTCTGCTCATTTTGGCACAAGTAATAGCTGTTGACTCTTAAATTGTTCAGAGTTGATGGGTGTCCTATGATTTCTTTCTGGTTCTGAGTGAGACAGCAGACTTCAGTAGGCTTTTATTTCCCAGTTCCTGGATGGAAGGCACTGAGCACTTGTCCAGTTCTCCCTTCTCTTCTTGAAAATCCTGATTCCACTTTAAATTTGATACTGGAGATACTGACCTACCTGAGCTGTTGACTCTTAAATTGTTCAGAGTTGATGGGTGTCCTATGATTTCTTTCTGGTTCTGAGTGAGACAGCAGACTTCAGTAGGCTTTTATTTCCCAGTTCCTGGATGGAAGGCACTGAGCACTTGTCCAGTTCTCCCTTCTCTTCTTGAAAATCCTGATTCCACTTTAAATTTGATACTGGAGATACTGACCTACCTGCAGGGGACTACAATTAAAAAAAATAAAAATAAAGACTACAACTTTATAAACACACTAAAAAGGTGGGAAGAACACAGATACGAACAAAATAGTGCAACAGAGAACAATTGCAAAATACTATTCTAGTGTAACCACTGTACTATATATCATAAAATATGTAAAAATAAGATCATGCAGAAATAAAAGCTGCATTATAATAAATAATTTTTAACCTCTCCTACAGTACACAGAGACAAGCTTCTTACCTTTAAATTTTAAATCCAATATTTTTGAGACAGAACTTTCTTGCTTTAACAACTGTAAAATAGTCATAGACTATTTTCTTGATTTTAATCTTCATTAACTAGGCTTCTGAATCAGATATTAACTCATCACAATATTCAAACACAATTTAAAATGGTATCTTCATCTTACAAAAATGAGAATTTTATCTCCATCTTTCATAAAAATGATGCTCTTTGGTATCTCTTTCTGTGGTCTCTTTCTTGCTTTAACAACTGTAAAATAGTCATAGACTATTTTCTTGATTTTAATCTTCATTAACTAGGCTTCTGAATCAGATATTAACTCAGCACAATATTCAAACACAATTTAAAATGGTATCTTCATCTTACAAAAATGAGAATTTTATCTCCATCTTTCATAAAAATGATGCTCTTTGGTATCTCTTTCTGTGGTCTGTTTCATGGTTAAAATTCAGCCAAGACAGGATCAATGGTTTTCACTGGACGAAGTCCAACTTTTACTATAAGATTTATCTTTTCAGAAAACAAGACAAAGCTAGCAAAACAGCTGAATATTCCTTGGTACAGAGCTTTAATTGATAAGAATCAGTGATTTTAGTAATAATCATAATAACAATTTATACCTACTGAAAAGCTAAGCCTTTTGCTTCAGTACAATGACAACAATTTCTTGACTTTCAAAAATATAATTCTCTAAATGCTTCTGCTAAGACAAATAATATCCAGTACTAACAGATGAAGTAGTCCAATATTTTTAAAGCTTAATATCACACTCCTAAATATACAGGTAGAAACCCAAGTGTCTAAACCCTGGTCATCTCAAAGGGAAATACTGGTTCCTCTGCATTGTGTTTCCTACCTGAATGCAAAATAGTATTTTACCAGGCAAATAGGAAACAGCTGGTCTTTAATTACACATTTCTTTATCTCTCAATTTAAACAAACTTTCAATAAAATGTTAGCAAGGGCATTTAATAAGGTACTCACAACACTGTAAGTCTTGAGGGTTGTATTCTTCTTTCCAAGTGTTGCATTTGGTAAAACAAGGTGTGCTACTTTTTTTTCTTGCCAATCCATGAAACAAGACTGAAGGGCCTGAAGCAATCAGCCGACACACTTGGGAGGCTTAAAAAGGCCCTAGAGAACTAGCATCAATGAAGTAATTGTGTCCACGGCTCTATTTGGGGGAGTCCAGATAAATGACAACATCTGTATGTTTATCATCACTAAAATTCTTACACAGCTAAGCTCCTGGATATGTTCTACACACACTTTTACCCTTGGGTGAAACCATATTTCTTTTCCCTTGCAGAACACAGAGAAACAGACTTCAGAAAAGAAGAAAAAAGAAAAAGAAAAAAGGAAAAAACAGGGAGAGGGAAAAAAAGTAGTGATACACTTAGGGAAAAATAATCCGAAGCAGGTCCACATGATGCTCAACTCAAACTGGCAGTTACAGTCACAACTCAGGAAAACAATCTTGGAGCCATCACTGAGGGCTGTCTGGCATCAGTGGCTGGACAAGCAGTGGTATCCAGAAAGCCAAATACATCCCACATTGCTGAGATGGTATTGAGAAGATGACAATATATACCATTTCCCTAATATATGAAACCTCAGTGCCTCTGCATCTTTAGCACTGTACACAGTTCTGGTCTCCACATCTCAAGAAGGACATAGCAGAGTTAGAAAAGGTGCAAAAAATGGCAATTAAAATAATCAAAGTGATAGAACACCCAGATATGAGAAGAGATTAAAAAGTCTGGGACTCTTCAGTTTGGTGAGAAGGTGACTGAGGCAGGATATGACTGAGATTTTACTTAATAATGAATGTGAGCTATTTACCACATCCTGTACTTCTAGAAATAAGGGCCATCTGATGAACCAAGTAGGAGATCAGTTTAAAACAGAAAGAAAATTATTTTTTTACTCAGTAAATAGTGCATTTCTGGATCTTGCAGTCATGGGCAGCTGCAGAGGTAGATAGTATCAACATATTCAAAAAGGAATCAGACACATCCATTGACAACAGGTCCATAATGACTACTAAAGGGATTAGTTTGGGATGTATCTTCTAACAACCCTAAGAACAATTCTGGATGCCAGGGTACTACATGGGAGGAAATATCCAGGCTTGATACTACATAGGAGGAAATAGTCTGGCTTGTATGTTCTCCCTAAACAGCATTTCCTGTTGTCACTGTCAGAGAGCGTACTGAGCTAGATGATCTCACCCAGTAAGTCATTTCTTACTTTCTAGGGTTTTGTGTCTTTTGCAATTACTTCCTATTTAGTTGATTTTGAAGGAAACAGGTCCCTTGGGGAGGCATCCCATGAAAGTCTGCTAGGCATGGTGATCAACTGACAATGTAGTAGCAGGAGCAATTATCTCCATACAGCAGTGCTGCACTTTGGGTATGGAAAGGTTGTTCGGGGTTTTTTTCCCTATCACTATTTAAAATATTTGTGCCAAGTCCTGCTTTTTATCTTGTGTGGGAAAGAAGGAGGAAGAGAAGGGAAATATAAGCAAATTCCAACACAGGCATTGCCACAAGTAATTTGTGCATACATGGTTCACACAGTGGAATCCAAAACGCAGCATTTGCCCTCTATCTGTGGAAGGAGCACTAGGGTTCTTTGGGTGATAGTGATGAAAAGAGATATGAAATTACAAGAAATGAAAGAAAAGTCCTCCCTGAGAAAGGACCTGCCTGCAGGCAGCATGCTCAGAAAGAAGAGGAAACTGAAGTCTCCTGCAGCTCATACTCCATGCCTAGGTTAACATAAAAAAGAGCAGTAGCACTAGCATCACCACCTCTACCTCTTCAGGGCCCATTTCTGAGAAAGAGTAGTTTTCTATTTTTTTTATAAATCCTATCCTATGACACTCTGGAAACACTCCCTGACGTAGCTCTTCAAAAGGGCCTAGGCTGAAGACCAAGACCAGACATTTCTGGGCATGCTCAGCAGACAAAGTCTTAGGTGCCCATGGAGCCTGGAAGTAAGGATAGCAGTTTCCATACCTCCGGTTAGGGTGGCATGAAGCAGAATTTCTAGAACTTTGATTTTGGCATATAATGTGTACTTAAATCCTTTTTTGCATATAGACCCCTCACTTTTAATTCATACAAGAATGTTCAGCTGTTATAAACATGCATTATTACTCCATATGGAGAGCTTATTCTTTGCTAAGTAGCCTCTTTGAAAGCAGAAACCATTCAATGTAACAATGATGCTTTCAGACTGCAGCACAGCAAGCTACCTTGTGACTAGTAAATCTGAGAGCCTTAGAGGTCACAGCTAATGCAGAATCCTTAGTATTTGCATTACGGTTTTTTCTTGCTTCAGCTGAAGGATCAAGAGAGGCACTATGAAAGAAAACTCAGTATCTTGGGCAATCATCTGAAGAAATCAAATGACTATCCTAAATGTTAAACTTTGGACTTCAGTATTAATTGGGGGCTTATACGTTTGTTGTTTATGAACAATTATTTTCCTTTTTTTTCTCCCCTCC